CACCCACAGACTTTCCTCATCACACTCTTTAAATCTGATCTAAAGGTTTTTGCCTTATAAGGGAATATTCAGAAATTGCAAGGATTAGGACATAAGCATCTTTGGGAGGTATGTTATTCAGCCTCCACAGCAGGTGTATCCATATGGGCCTTGTGTTGTCTTTTTCCACTTCACCCCAGCTACCAGTCCTTGGCCAAAGGGACAGCCTGCCAGGGCAGCGTTAATATACAAACCCTCATGTCTTGGTTAGGTTAGATAGCTTTTCTCTAGCTAAAGGTATTTTTCTTTCTTTCTTTCTTTCTTTCTTTCTTTCTTTCTTTCTTTCTTTCTTTCTCTTTCTCTCTCTCTCTCTCTCACATCTGTGGTGTATATACAAGTACGTGTGTGTGTCTGTGCGTGTGTGTGTGTGTGTGTGTGCGCGCACGTGCGCTCACAAGCCAGAAGTTAATGTTGAATGTCTTCGTCAGGCATTCTCTGTCTTATTCACTGTACCTGGAACTCACTGATCTGACTAGCAAGTTCCAGGGATTCACCTGTCTCCTTCTCCCCAGCCCTGGGGTTACAGATGCATACTGCCATGCCCACCATTTTTTTAAACATGGGTGCTGGGAGCCTAAGTCAGGCCCTCATGCTTATATGGCAAGCACTTTACCAACTGAGTCATCTTCCCATGCCCAAGGATTATTTTCTTGAGGTGCAGCTTATACCTCCAGTTTTATCTAATCACATGGCCAATACATTTGATTACATAAGTGGACTGAAAGTGGTCAGTCCTGTCCTCACTGACAAAGGTACTTCAAGTGTGTGTCCTAGCGACGGTGGCTCTTCTGTAAAGCTTATCTTTTAAGATTAGAATCTTACAGTGCCCAGGATTATTTCAAACTAGTCTGAAAGAAACACAAGTCCTGTTATCATATCCCACGGTCCTTGACTTCTGGCAGGCATGTACAAAGCTGTAAGTTTAGACTTAGGAAGTGATAATGCATTGGAATTAGTTGGTAGTAAATATGAAGGGAGAAGATGGTGGCAGGGGGTGACTGAAAGATCTTATACTCAATACCCAGCACAGAAATAAAAAAACCCTCAAAGAACAAAAACAAAGTAGAAAAGAGAGGGAATGTTGTTTTTGAGTTAACTTTGTGAGAAATACTTGCGGAGCATGGAGAGAGGTTAATTCACGTTGGGTATCATCTTCCTCATCTATGGAAGGAAGTATTTTCCTGTCTCAGCTCTGAAATTCCATGTGGCATCTCTCCCCTTTCAATCAGAAAGAGAAGGCAACAGGTGCCTGTGCAGATGCATTTTAGGGAACATGGCAGGATATGGAGGCTCATGAATGGAGGCTCTACTGAAGTTAGGCCTGATGACTGGCCAGTGACATTAATTTGTACTTTTGCTTCTTAATTAGTGCTGAATGATTCAGAATAGAGTCCAGAAGACTTATGCAATACTTAGGCAAGACCAGGACTAGCCTCTCATTACAAGATGACACCCCACTGCGTTTCAGGAATGGGCCCAGTGCTGGTACCTTACTCCCTATGGACTGAAGGTGACAATGGGAATTTCTTCTTGTGGGTTTTATATCAGGAACTAGAAGGAAAAGCTCTCTGTTTTCTCACTTAGAAACAAAGAGCATCATCCATAGGTATCACTTGCAGTGGACAGTTTCTTATGTAGCAGAGAAATAAACACTAGAGGAGAAAAAAAAAAGAGTTGAAGTGGAGGAATTTAAATTACTGCATCCCTGCCCCTAGTTCAGTCGGTACCTTTTTATGATTTGGCTACATAGCTAGTAGCTCACCTTTACTTACAAAGTACATAGAGGTTAATGTTTGACATTTGAAACTAAAAGAATTATTGGGTTGGGTGATGTAGTTAAGTTGACAGAGTGCTTGCCTAGCATGCATTATGCCCTAAGCTTAGTCCCTGAGACCACATTAAAAAAAGAGAGATTAGAAGTTCAAGGTCATCCTCAACTATGTAATGACTTAGAGGTCATCTTGGGATGTAGGAAACCTGACTCAAAAAGGAAATAGAAGTCTTGGTTCAGACCTGGCATATAGGGTATTGGTGTTGGAGCATCAGAATGCAAGATTACATGGTATTTCTCTTCAGATATAACCCAAAGATAATAGAGCCAAGAATTTGCCAGTATGGATCGAATATCTCTCATTGAAATGCTTGAGTCCAAAAGTGTTTCAGACTTAATTTTTTTCAGATTTTGGGTTGTATTTTGGAATATGTTTGCATATATAATATGTAGTGTTTACTTATGTATAAAATATCTTGGGGATGGGACTCAAGTCTGAATATGAAATTCATTTATGTTTCATATATACATTATGCACACAGTCTGAAGGCAACTTACACAGCATTTTATATAGTTTTATTCATATTTTTCTTGTCACTTTTTGAGATAAGGTATCACTGTATAGCTTAGGCTTGCCCTGAACGTGCTGTGTATCCCAGGCTGTCCTTAAACTTAATGATCCTCCACTGTAGCTGTCCTTATACTGTGCTTACAGTTGTGCCCTACTGACACACCTGGCTTGAAGCAGAGTCTCATAGTGTGGAATTTTCCACTTGTGTCAGTGCTTAAAATCTTTCCCATTTGGAGCATCTTGGATTTTGGATTTGGGGATTAGACAGCTGTATTCATTACTTTTCCTGTTTTGTCGTTAATTTGACAAAACACCCTGACCAAAGCTACTTAAGGGAGGGAGATTTTATTTTGGCTCACAAATTCAAGCAGCTGCAGGGAAGACATGGTGGAGTTCATGGTGACAGGACTGTGTGTTGGCAGCCTACCCCTCACATGTTGGTAGACCAAGAAACAGTAAACGAGATAGGAAAGCCAAAGCCAGGCTATAATCCTCAGGGTTCGCCGCCATTGGCCTAAGTCCATCAATTAGACCACATGTTCCAAAGGTCCACAACCTCCCTACCTTTAGACAGTGCCACCAACTGGAGACCAGGTGTTCTAACATGAGTCCAGGGTCGGAGGGGGGAGGGGAGGATTTCATAGCCAACCCAGAACAGGAATTCAGCTTGTATTCACAAGGCTGGTTGAAGTGCTAGATCATGTGGTAGACCATGTTTTGTGTGCTGTACCAAAAAAGGGCATGATTTTTCTTGGGTAAAAGATAAAGAAGACTTAAGGGAATCAATTCTTAATTGGACCTAAGTAGGTTATACAGGGGGTATCATTTTAAAGAGTAAGGAAATTCCTTTATACTTCATGATTGAAAGGGATAGAGCTATCACCCAATTTTAGGTTTGGCATACTGCAATATAAAATCTATTTTATATATACAAGTGAGGATTTGATCTATAATATGATAAGTCTGTTTAACTAGATTAAGCAAATATTCTCAGGACAAAATAACGTGAAAAAGAACCATTTGGAGCTGAATGGAATCTATTGGAAATATTTCGATGCCAAACTATTTTCAAGCTGCCTTGGGCAGATTTTTTTCTTATTTGTAATGTTGAGTTACTTTAGATAATATTAAGTCTGTGAGTACCTACGAAGAATGCTGAGCGGTCGCTTTTCATTTGTGCTTCTCAGTCTACTAGTGGTTGTGGTTCAGAATGGCTCAGGCCAGTGATAAAATCCATTTAGAAGGAATTGATCCATCACAGCCTCTTGACTGCACTTCCATAGACTCAACTATAATGTAGGTTGGCATACTATGGCAAATCTGAATTCTTCATTAAACAATATCCAGTTACTATCTTTATGCTTCAGTTTTACCCTCAGTTTTAATCTTATGTTCTCTCTTTGTTGAGAACATATACTTTGCCCATGTTCTAATAAGAATAAACTGTGTCCTGATTTGCGATGGCAATTGTAATTATCCAGTAAATTATTACAGCCTCACTGCAGAATTTCAATGTAACCTGTCAAAATAATGTTGATACATGCATTGAATATTAATATAAAATCCATGGCGTCTATATAGTTATACTAAATTTGGAAGTGTTTTGATGAGAAATGAATTTACTATTGGTATACAGTCTTTTTTACTGAGCACTTGGTCAACCTTCAGAGGCCTGCCTTTCCTCACTGGTGAGAGGCTGGATAACATCTGATCCCTCCATTCCTATCTCAGAGTAAATCATCTTGGCTGAGTGTTCAAGCTCTAATCATAGGTTCAAACCTATTTTTGAGGAAAAAGTTCTAAAATCATCATTACACTATTGTAAGTTTTTATTACTTCTTTCAATATAACCTTCTGTCATGATTTTGTATCTTGGAGGTACATTTGTCTTTTCTTTATTTTGACTCACTCTAAATTTAAAACATTTTTGTGAACTTTATATGTAATACTGGATCTGGGAGATTCAGAGAGGTTCATAGCAATATGAGTATTGTCATCAAGCCTCTAAGAGGTTTTCTGTCCCCTCCACCATCCCATACATACACACTGAGGGAGCACTCACTGAACCAGACGGGAATTATGACATTAGAATAATAAAAATTGCTTCAGTCATTGGTGTAGAAACTCTAAAACTATTCTAAGATGCTTCTCCATATCTGGCTCCAGGCCTCCTTCCACCTGTCTGACTCATTCAGGTAATGTGAGAAGAGTTGCTTTTCTTCCATTATAAAACTCCCTCAATGTCCAAATTAATGAAGCTGTCAAACCATGTTGTAAAAAAGAAATAGAATATTCTGCCTGTATCAGACCCTAATTTTACTATGCTGAGACACAAGAGACAGCACTGTGTGTTTTTTACAAGCGATAGTTTTTAGTTCACGTGAATTCGTTTTATAAAACTGCTCATGCTAGGCTGGTTTTCCTCCTCTGCGAGTTCTTCAGTTTCCAGAGTCACGTTGCCCGACCAGAGCCTTCAGGCCCAGCCAGTTAGAATGGTCTGATTGTGAAGGAGTGGGGAAGTCGTGAGGATCTTCTGACGCTTTTGGCTTTGGTGGTTTACTGAATTGAGCATATGGAATAGAATGAGATGAATAACCTGATCTCATTTCCTCTTTACAGGCTCTGTACAACTCGATCAAGAACGAGAAGCTTGAATGGGCAGTGTAAGTACGCTGGGCATCAGCTCTGCAGTAACTTGCTGCTTCCTTTTTCTTAATGCCTTTCTTTATGCCTTGGAGTTGATTTTAGAGAAGGATTAAGTACGCATTGCTGGTTCTTATTTTATGCCAGTTATCTTCCCTGCGTTAGATGAAGCCTAAGCAAACGCCGAGTACCCCTTGTTGTTGCTGGTACACAGTACTCTGCTTTTGCTCTGGTTTTTCTACCTATAGGCAATTAGTTGCCTTTCAATGTAGCCTTTAAAAAATAACATTCTAGCACTCGGGAGGCAGAGGCAGGTGGGTCTCTGTGAGTTCAAGCCAGCCTGCTCTACATAGTGAGTTCCAGGACAGCTGGAGCTACAAGGAGACCCTGTCTCAAAAAGACCAAAAAAAAAAAAAAATCATTCTATTAACTTGCAGCAGTAGTGACAGCATGTGCAAGACTCAGTCAGACAAAAATCCAGCATAGAACTAGGGAAATGGGCAGCAGGCCCCAACCCTAGCCTAGGAAATATTGGCAACTGATTACTGCTAGGTAAGCAAGAGTAGATTTTCTTTAAGGAAGTGACTCTAGATAGACTGACTAGACTCTAGCGGATGAACTTACACATCTGGAAAGAAATGCTTGACCAGAAAGGATTTAACATATATGACAGAATGCATGAAATTTGGTGGGGGCTGGTACTTATTGGAGGGGGCACCGATGGGGTAGGGGAGCCTAAATTTGATTAAGATCTATTATATGAAATCCACAAAAACTCAATAAAAATAAAATTTCTAAAAGAGAAGCTGTTGATAAAGTTGTTTATTCCAAAATCAAATGCACGTAATTTGAATGCCACTGATTTACTTGAATTCTCTTTTTCCCCTTCATCATAGAGCAAGCCAATTTTATTTCTTATGCCACTAATCATACTATGACATTAGTAAATATTAATGAAAAAGGAAAGGTTTTGTAGCTAGATAAGCTTGAGAAATAATGCATAAAGTTAAGCCAGTTCTTCTAAATTTCAGATTTTCTAGAGGCATAGGCAATGTCATTACATATTGCTAACAATCTCTAGTAGAAAAATGAGTTTTAAATGCTTCCTGAATCTACTTGACAGTAAAATGTAACATTTCAGGGTATATACTTTGGGAACTGCTATTTAGATAAATCTGTTTAACTTTATATAAACCAAAATGCAATACTTGTTAAAATTTCATTAATCAATGCTGCTATTAAAGTTTAAAAGATTGTAGCTGACTGGTGAAATGACTCAGTTAAGGTACTTTCTACCAAGCCTTATGACGTGAGTTCAATCCCCAGGACCCACATGATGAAAGGAGAGAACCAACTCTTGTAAGTCCCATCCTCTGACCTCCACATGCACCCCATGGCATGTACACATCCACACACATTAACCCCCCTACCCTATACACACACATACACACACACACACATACATACACATGCAGATACACACACACACAAACACATACATACACACACAGATACACACATACACACACAGACTCACACACACAGATACACACACACACACACACACACACACACACACACACATGAGTGGGTTGTAAAAACTCAGTACCACTTTAATTATTTCCATTAACTGCTGAGCCATACACTACTGCTTTAAATGAAGAGTCTCTTCTTAGACTTTAATATTTGCAAATCTAATGATTCATATGACTGTGTCTTGCTGCTGCTGGTCATACTTCTTCCAGCAATCACCCAGTGTACCTCCTAAACAAGTTCCTGTCTCTAGTTTGTTTCCTCTAACTTGAACCTGATTGAAGCATTCCTGTGTTGTAGAGCGTCAAGTAGGCTGTGTACATTCTGCAGATAATCCATTTTGTCACCTGCTGTTGTCTTCACACAGTCATTCTTTCAGCTAGGGGCAGTACTTGTGCTTGCCCCATGGCTTTCTCCCTTTTTGCCCATGTTCCTGAAGAGACCTCTGCGTGCAGCTTTCCCAATCCATTACAACCCAGCTTATATTGCATCCATTCCTTCAGGTCTTTCCTGACCTTGCCAATCAGGAATCATCTCTATTTTGCTTTATCTGATGACACTATCAGTTTCCACTCCCCATTAGATAGTTGCTATAAAATTTCACTAGACTCTAAATTACTTACGGAAATGATATGTGTCTGGATTTGTATTTCCTCATAGTGCCTGTAGATACTGAAGACTCCATAAATCATTATAGAAAGGTTGTTGTGTAAATCAGTGGAAAACCATGGGCTTAGCATCTGGAAAGCACTGGGTTTAATCCTTAGCACCAGGAGGGAAAAATGGGAAGGAAAAAACAAAAATAAAGTAAACAATACTGTGAGGCAAAGAACTGTTGTCTTGCAATATGAACCTGCAGTTTTGCAGTTCAGAACATAGAAGAAAGGTGCTGTTGCTGTTGCAGCAAAATGTATAGGAAAATGGGCACTTGAGTGAAAAGTCTCTTGTTGATTTTAGATCTTAGAGGAAACAGATGTATAGAATTGTGGAATGCTGCCAACTAGAGGGAAGACTTTAATGTGTTGGTTTTCTAACTTGGTTCCATGGAGTGCTAGGATTCCAAAGAGATGTCTCAGAGGTCTCTCTCTCTCTCTGGGAATAAGAGTGAGGGGAAAGGAAGAGAAGATGGGAGCTGAGCTCTTCCTTCATGAGCATCAAAAGCACCTTCATTATGATCTTTTAAAAAATATATGATGCTGGAGAGATGACTCAGAGGTTAAGAGCACTGGCTGCTCTTGCAGAGGACCCAGATTTGAGCCCAGTACCCACATGTTGGCCAACAACCGTGCATAACTCCAGTTTCAGGGGATCTGACATCCTCTTCTGACCTCTGTGGACACTACATGGCATGCATGCACTTACACACATGCAAGCAATATACTCATACACATAAAATTAAAAATAAGATATTTTTAAAATATATGATTCATGTTTTGCCAAATGCTTCTTTTTATATGTATACTTCCAATTTCGGGGGAAATGGATTACTCTGGCTTGATGCCTTCTTTTCCTATGTGAGGAAAACCGAAATCAAGAGACATTCAGATACAGATCCAAAGTCATTCAGTGAGTACCATGCAAAGCCAGAGGAGTTTTCTGTGGTTTCATGCCTCGCTTCTCTATAGAGAATGATTTTGTGGCAACTTTTGATTCAAGTTAAGAGAGTATTTTTTTAATCAATGCATGAGTCTCTTCAAATGCTCAGAGAATTACTAGTGCTCCCTCAGGCAAGTTAGATAGTGAGGATCATCCACTCATCTGTTCCAGGCTTTAAGTTCTTTTTATGGCCCTGGTCCAGTGCAGAATGCAAGATGCAAATGTGTATGTGGCACATCCGTCCTGATGAGAACACAGCAAGAAACAAGGGGAGGCCACGGCAAAGATGGAAATGTAAACATTGTAGGGAAAAGTGGAGAGTCACACTGGCTGGTGGGAAGTCTCAGCTCCCTGAGGCAGAACACTTACCATTTCTCTCTCCATATTCCTGCACTTAATTGTCCAGTATTCATGAAGCATCTATTCGTTGAGCCACTTTGTCCTGTGCTATATGCTGGGAATACAGAAAGAACACAATGTTCAAAGCACTGAAACATTTTCCTTAGCTCTAAGTCAAGGTGTAGTTCAAGCTTACAAAGAAACAAAGTAGAGAGAATTTTTTTTTTTTTTTTCTGATTGAGATGGGGCAGGGTAAGGTAGATAAGAGAAGTTTGTAACTAATGCCAGCCTAGTTTAAAGCATGGCTCCATGAGGATCTTCAGGGAATACAGCTGTCTAAATGGCAAGGTAAAATAACTGCTATAGTATTAAAAAAAAAACAAAAAAAAAACAGTTTTTTTCTGTGTTTTAACCTCTATGATTATTGCTATCACCATACGACAGCAGTGCTTAGGAACTGCAAGACATCTTCCCTACCCAGGTTTCCAAACAAACAGTAATAACAAAATGTCAGTGCCCCATCTCACTTTACATCTCAATATAACTAGTTTTGAATAACGGACTTGTGGGTTATCACACCTACTCTCCTGTCCTCTAGGTGATATACTATTTATCACTTTATACGTTGTGTCTGTTTAAATCCGAATAAGCATTTTATAATTATGCATCATGGAAAACTCTTTCCTGTTTACTATTTCTACAATGTACTTCCTGATGAGAACATTTCAAAACTTTTATTGTCTTTTCTTCTAAACTAAGTTGTTTCTTATGGGCCATTACACAGTGAATTATCTTGGTTTGTTTTATAGGGAAGTGACATACTAGGTTCTCTCTGTCCCTCTGATCATGTGTTATCCTGACCTTAAGCTTTTAAAAGTGTGGTCTTAGGGACTGGAGAGATGGCTCAGTGGTTAAAAGTGCTCACTGTTCTTGCAGAGGATCTGGGTTCGATTCCCAGCACCCACATGACAGCTAACAACTGTTTATAACTCCAGTTTCAGGGGTATTCAGTGCTCCCTTCTGTCCTCCATGGCCTTTGCAAGACTAGGGTGCACTTACATGCATGCAGACAATACTTCCATACACATAAAAATTAAAATAATAAATGAAATATTTTTAAAAGTGTAATTTATTAGCAATTTATTTTTAGGCTTATCACTTCTTTGTTGTGAACTGTGTTCCACAGTTAGAAGGCTGATTTGCTGCCATTCAAAAATATAGAAAACTTTGAAGATTTCCTTTTTGTTATGTTTAACACTTCCTGTGTTTGTGTATGTGTGAGTGAAAGAGAAAAGGAGAGAGAATCTGTCTTGTCTATAGTCAAATTTGAGAGTTATAGAGGAAATGGAGTAACCGTTATTTGTTCTGTCACAGGAACACTTTAATGCTGTATCTAATTCAAGGGTCTGAATCTGAAATTGATAACTATTCCAAATATATATATATATTGCTGCCTGGTCTCATAAAGTCTTTTTCAAAGAAATGACTCCGAGTTCTTTTACTCTTCTTAATTTCCTTTTCATATTTCACCTAACACTATATCAATTCTAAT